AGAGAGTGAGTATCTATAATAGGACAGGAGGAAGTGGGGGGCGGGGCGGACTGGAAACTCGATTATGTATTTTGTAATTGGTTCTTGTGTATAAATTCTTACTTCCTCGTTCTCCAAAACATGGGCATTTTTAATATTATAAACTAATCGAGTGTACCAAAGACTGTAGCATTATGTGATTTAGACCACTAGCTGTAGGCAGCCAGTAAATTGTGTTTTTCCTGCTGTATTTTTAAATTGAGATATAATTTATGTATAACACTATATTAATTTCAGGCGCACAGTATAATAATTGGGTATTTATGTATTACAAAGTGATTCACCACAATAAGTCTAGTTAAACATCAATCACCACACACAGTTGCCTTTTTGTTTTTCTTGTGATGAGAACTTTGAGATCTACTCTCTTAGCAACTTTCAAATCTGCAGTACGATATTGTTTCCTAGAGTCACCGTGCTGTACATTACATCCTCCGGACTTATTTATTTCTAGCTGGAAATTTGTACCTTTTAACCCCCTTCACTCAACCCCCCACCTCTGGCAGCCAAGTCTCTTCTCTGTATCTCTATGAGTTTTCCTACTGTTTTTGATCTGAAAAAATCACCTATTTTGCCTCATTAACTCAGTGCCTACTCCATATTAAAGGGATGGGGTTGAAGGCATCTGGAAGACCGCATTGCTCCCTGTAGAAATTACAGCTAGCTCCCATATACAACAGTATGTTTCGAAGCTGCGGAAGTCTGCGTGAAGGCTGGGTTGTGGGACAGTGAAGAATGTTAAGAGTGTTGGAGGGAGGAAGGGACTCGGGGGGAAAAGGGAGGGCAGGAAATCCCACACATTCTGGTCAAATGGTGGCGCATAACTGAGTCCCATGGTATTTTCTTCTGGGTCTGAAATGTGAGGCCCTTTTATGAGATCTTAGGAGAAGAAGTGGGCGTAGTACTGGGAGTGAGTGTCACAAATTAGAGTAAACAGGAATGAGTTTGGTCAAAGAGCATACTTCTGACTGTTCAGAGCACATATTTTAATTACCCTGGAGGCCCTGACCTGCAACAAGTTGCCTTCCTGCGGGAGCTAAATCTTCTAAACCAGCAGTTCTCAACCTGTGGGTCGCGACCCCTTTGGCGGTCGAACGACCCTTTCACAGGGGTCACCTAAGACCATCCTGCATATCAGATATTTACATTATGATTCATAACAGTAGCAACAGTACAGTTATGAAGTAGCAACGAAAATGATTTTATGGTTGGGTCACAACGTGAGGAACTGTAATTAAAGGGCCAGAAGGTTGAGAACCACTGTTCTAAACAAACAGACTGGAACTTCAGTATCCAGCAAGCCATGGAGAAGAGCCAACCAGTCCGCATTTAATGCTCTTGACTCATTGTCCGTGAAACGTGGGTCACGTGGTATTTCCCACACCGGTGGGAAGATAGGCATCAGAATGAATCATCCATGCCTTTGACATTTCTCAGCCGCTGGGGTTACAGCACAACCCCGAGTCCCCGTAAGTCCAGCATAATCAGCAAAGATGCCGCTTGGCGTTAGTGAATGTTGCATATGGCCAGGCCTGGGTATTTGGGAAGCCTGTTAAATGGCCCGGAGCGGGTCTGAGGTTGACACTTCACAAGACCCTTGTGGCATTAGCCCCAGCCCTGCTGTCTGGCGGGGGAGGGGATGGAAAAGAGCAGGTTAAGAGTGAACCGGCTCGGACTGAAGCGGAAATGCAATGACTTCCCTTGCCCGGTGTCTCTGTTAGTCTGTTGGGAGAGCTGTGACCGTGTAGGGTGGCTGGAGACTTCAGTCGCCACTCTTCTTGGTGTTGAAAACCACCTTTTTGCTTGCAAAAGGAAATATAAACACACACTATCAACAGAGGGCAACACTGAAGGCGGAGCAGAAGGAGTCCCGCCCGCTGCTGACTCCAGCTCGAAATATTTCGCATGCCTGGGATTTCCACAGACCTCAGAAGGTTCCTGTGAGCAGTGAAAGAACAGCCGATAGCCCCCAGTTTCCATAAAATGACTTATTTCTCTCTTTTTTAAATTATATTTTTACTGATTTCAGAGAGGAAGGGAAAGGGAGAGAAATAGAAACATCAGTGATGAGAGAGAATCATTGACCGGCTGCCTCTTGCACGCCCCACACTGGGGATTGAGCCCACAATCCCCGCATGTGCCCTGTCCAGGAATTGAACCATGACCCCCTGATTCATAGGTCGCCACTCAACCACTGAGCCACGCCAGCTGGGCAAATGACTCTTTATTTCGTTTCAAACACTTGGTCCGGCTTTTTTCTGTGACATTCTTTACTTTCATAGTTGTTATTTTTTTAAAAAAACAGTAATATAAAGATATCGGGGTTGGGGGGGTGTCAACCCTGATGGTCTGTTATAAGCAGCCTCCCGGACCCCTGGACCTCAGCACATATCCTGCTCCCTGCGGTTTGCCCATCCAGGGACCAATGGCTTCTTCATTCTGTCTTTTCAGAGTGAGGATTCGGACGAGGATGAGCCTTGTGCCATCAGTGGCAAGTGGACTTTCCAGAGAGACAGCAAGAGGTGGTCCCGGCTGGAAGAGTTTGATGTCTTTTCCCCAAAGCAGGATACGGTCCCGGGGTCCCCAGAGGATCCCCACCTGAAGAGCGCCCCGAGCCACGAGAGCATGCTGACGGACTTGAGCGAGCGCCAGGAGGTGGCTTCCGTCCGCAGCCTCAGCAGCACCGGCAGCCTCCCGGCCCATGTGCCCCACGGCGGGGACGCGGCCACGGCCACACCCCGGACTAACTCGGTCCTCAGCGTCTGCTCCTCCGCCGGCCACTTGGCTGGCAATAACGACGACTCTTTCTGCAGCCTGCCCTCCCCCAAGGAGCTGTCCAGCTTCAGCTTCAGCATGAAGGGCCACGAGAAGACCGCCAAGTCCAAGACGCGCAGCCTGCTGAAGCGCATGGAGAGCCTGAAGCTCAAGGGCTCCCAGCACGGCAAGCACAAGGCTCCCTCCAAGCTGGGGCTGATCATCAGCGGGCCCGTCCTGCAGGAGGGCATGGACGAGGCCAAGCTCAAGCAGCTGAACTGCGTGGAGATCTCCGCGCTCAACGGCAACCACATCAACGTCCCCCTGGTACGAAAGAGGAGCGTCTCCAACTCCACGCAGACCAGCAGCAGCAGCAGCCAGTCCGAGACCAGTAGCGCCGTCAGCACGCCCAGCCCCGTCACCCGGACCCGGAGCCTCAGCGCCTGCAACAAGCGAGTGGGCATGTACCTGGAGGGCTTCGACCCCTTCAGCCAGTCCACGTTCAACAACGTGGCGGAACAGAACTTCAGGAACCGCGAGCGGTACCCCGAGGACACGGTGTTCTACATCCCCGAGGACCACAAGCCCGGCACGTTCCCCAAGGCCCTCTCCAACGGCAACTTCTCGCCCTCGGGGAACAGCAGCTCCGTGAACTGGAGGACGGGCAGCTTCCACGGCCCCGGCCACATCAGCCTGCGGAGGGAGAACAGCGGCGACAGCCCCAAGGAGCTGAAGAGACGCAACTCCTCCAGTTCCATGAGCAGCCGCCTGAGCATCTACGACAACGTGCCGGGCTCCATCCTCTACTCCAGCTCGGGGGACCTGGCGGACCTGGAGAACGAGGACATCTTCCCCGAGCTGGACGACATCCTCTACCACGTGAATGGGATGCAGAGGATCGTCAACCAGTGGTCCGAGAAGTTCTCAGACGAGGGAGACTCGGACTCGGCCCTGGACTCCGTCTCTCCGTGCCCGTCCTCTCCCAAACAGATACACCTGGATGTGGACCACGACCGGGCCACGCCCAGCGACCTGGACAGCACGGGCAACTCGCTGAATGAACCGGAAGAGCCCTCTGAAATCCCAGAGCGGAGGGATTCTGGGGTTGGAGCCTCCCTGACAAGGTCCAACAGGTAGGAGCTTTGGTTCCCTCTCCCGGCTGGGGACAGGGAGGCAGAGAGGGTCTGCTTCTACTTGCGGTGTAGGGGAAGTAGGGTAATGTAAGCCGGCATTCGTAGCCTAAGAAAGAGGCAGACCAGGAAATGCCAACATCCCCAAAAGCATGGATATTGTCTAATGGCTGTGGACTTGCAGTTGGGGAAGACGAAGTGTGGGTTCTGCGGATGGAGGGTGGTGACGGTGGTGCAACAATGTGAAGGTATTGAACGCCCCTGAGCCGTACACTTCAAAAGGGTTAAGATGGTAGGTTCTATGCTATTTTCGAACTTGAGTCCTCTCAGTTGCCCGGACTCAAAGCCCGTGAGCAGCCCGCTGCTGATCGGTGTCTGCCTCCGAAAGCGCTGGGACTCCCTGACTCCTCCCTGCTCTTCTCTCGCAGGCACCGGCTGAGGTGGCACAGTTTCCAGAGCTCTCACCGGCCGAGCTTAAACTCGGTGTCGCTGCAGATTAATTGCCAGTCTGTGGCCCAGATGAACCTGCTGCAGAAGTACTCGCTCCTGAAGCTGACAGCCCTGCTGGAGAAGTACACGCCTTCCAACAAGCATGGTTTCAGCTGGTAAGAGTTTAAACTGCTCCGGGAACCGCGATTGAAGATGTTTTCGCTCAGCTCCCGACACTGAGTATATCCCTTTAATATCTTCAGCCAACTGTCCTAATACAGTCACTCTCTGCCTTGTTGCGGCCACACTTGATGCTACGTAAGCTTTAGGGACTTGCTAGCAGCGGTGGTTGGTTGAGTTTTCAGCTCTCCCGGTGACAGATTGCCAGTTGATGGGGTGAGATTACATCTCTCCTCCATCGAATTGTGCAGGCCCCCTCCTTCCCAGAGGTGGGAGTAAGCCAGGGGTGGGCAAACTTTTTGACTCGGGGGCCACAATGGGTTCTTAAACTGGACCGGAGGGCCGGAACAAAAGCATGGATGGAGTGTTTGTGTGAACTAATATAAATTCAAAGTAAACATCATTACATAAAAGGGTACGGTCTTTTTTTTCAATAGTTTTATTCGTTTCAAACGGGCTGGATCCAGCCTGCGGGCCGTAGTTTGCCCACGGCTGGAGTAACCCATCGTAGGTAAATATATGTACAGTATCTGATCACATTTTGGAAAGAAGGAAGGAAAAATGTAGTTTAAAAATATTTTCATGGATTTCAGAGAGGAAGGGGAAAGGAGAAAGATAGAAACATCAATGATGAGAGAGAATCACTGATCAGCTGCCTCTTGCCCACCCCCAAGTGGGAATCGAGCCTGCAACCTGGGCATGTGCCCTGTCCGGGAATCGAACCGTGACCTCCTGTTCATGGTTCGACGCTTAACCACTGACCTACACAGGCCCAGCGGAAAAATGCAGTTTAGATGTTGCTGTGAGACTGACTTTAAAATGCTTGATGTACACTGCTTGGCTTTATAACCCTATTGTATGCTTCTAGAAAGCGTTTTTTATGTGACTGTTCAGAGCATCACTCAAAAATCTGCCTGTGCTAAAGATTTTCTGTCTTTTCCAACAAATGCTCTTACATGGTGATTCATAAATCTAAAATATTACAGAGTAAAATATATGTGAAGGTAAAATGTATCACCTGAACTATCCATAATTACGTGTGAAAATGTTGCCCCTCATGTATATAACAGTTGGGCTGGATGGGTCATGGATATGACCTAATACCGACATCTTAATATTTTTTTACTCTCCGTGCAAAACAGAGACATGCCCCTAGATTGACATCCCAGCACATTCCACAGTGTCAGCTGGGTATTCGTAAGTGTTCTCGCTAATCTGCGTGTTTGCTATCCAGTTGCACAACTACTGTTCTTGTTGAAAGCCAGCGGCAGCCCGTCTCGTTGGGAGGGCTGGAGCGAGGCGGAGCTGCCGCGAGTCAGAGGAGCAGCGTAACCGGCTCCCCCTCCCAGGACTCGTAGTGAGTTTAACTTCGGCATCAAAGCTCCTCCTGTTCAAAGGCTGTTATTATGGGAGCCTTGCTAAATACAGGAGTTGTTTGTTCTGAATGACAGAAATAAGTATTGACCGGTTTACCCCGACATGCTTCAGATTCTCGGCGGAGATCGTAATGTGTTCCCTGCACATTCCGCCGCCCGGCTTCGGGCCCCCGACAAAGCCAGTATTATGCACGCTTCTAGCCGTGATACCGTATACTTAACTGTATGGACATACAAATTTGGCCCTGCGTCTCGGCTTTACCTCCCCTGCGGCTATAAACAGGGCCGTGTTGTGGCTGTTGGTAAGCTCCCAGAAGCCAAGGCCGTGCGTCTCCTGCCCCGCTCCTCTGGGCGGAGAGTCATATATCCCCGCTGGCTATTTAAAACTGCATATTTCACATTCTCGCTTCTGAGTTGTCCACCCCCTTCCCACCAAACCCTCAAGAATCTGAAAGTCCATAGTACTTCTTGGAGTTCTGGTCAGTTTTTCCAGTGAGTCAAGACCAAATGTAAAAGCCTCGCATTGTGGGATCCACGGAGCAGGGAGAAATTCGACACAAAATTCTTTTCCTGTTAGTCCTGGCCCTTTCTTGTCTCATTCACAGAGGTCGTTTGTAGAGCTCGACAGCGTTAAAGGCATGACATTGGTTTCCTGCTGTTGCAGATACTGCGGGGCGGACCTGCTTTCAGGACTCCAGGGAGCGGGGCCGAGGCCACAAAACCCTCCTTGTTCTTTTCCATCTTCCTTAGGCACCTGAGGATGTCATGTCCTCCAGCTCAGCAGCTGGACAGTGGTTTTGACGTCAGGTCATTAGCGTGGCCCCCTTGTTGAGCTCTGAAGCTGGTGCCCCTGTGTTTGACCAGTATCATGTATTTGCTATTTCTGTCATCCAGCCTTACCCGATCCTTCTTTTTTCTTTTTTAAAAAATATATTTTATTGATTTTTCACAGAGAGGAAGGGAGAGAGATAGAGAGCTAGAAACATCGATCAGCTTCTTCCTGCACACCTCCTACTGGGGATGTGCCCGCAACCCAGGTACATGCCCTTGCCGGAATCGAACCTGGGACCTTTCAGTCCGCAAGCCGACGCTCTATCCACTGAGCCAAACCAGTTTCGGCTTTCTTTTTTATTTTTATTTTATTTTATTTTATTGATTTCAGAGACGAAGAAAGAGGGAGAGAGAGATAGAAACATCGATGATGAGAGAGAATCATTGATTGGCTGCCTCCCGCACGCTCCACACAGGGAATCGAGCCACCTGGGCATGTGCCCTGAATGGTGGGAATCGAACCGTGACCTCCTGGTTCATGGGTCGACGCTCAACCACTGAGCCACACCAGCTGGGCCGACCCTTTTTACCCTAAACACTTTGGTTCTCATCAAGAACTTAGAAATTATTCTTGTCCATTTTCACAACAAAGGGGAACTTGTTTTTCAAACTCTGTCAGGAGGCACCTAAGTAGGGTCTTGCACGGTGTCTTCTGTTTCTGTTTCTTCCCGTGCCACCATTTCCTAAGGAAGCCCATCAGTTCTCTTAAGGATGTCAGTGCGCCCCTGGCCAGGTAGCTCCGTTGGTTAGAGCATCATCCCAATATACCAAGATTACGGGTTTGATCCCCAGTCAGGGCACATACAAGAATCAGCCAATGAATCATAAATAAGTGGAACAATAAATCTCTCTCCCTCCCTCTCTCTAAAAAACATCAAAAACAATAATATAGACCCGATTCTCAGCGTTCACAGTGGAAGGAGACTCCCCAGCTGAGGAGGGTGACTGGCCTCACAGACCGCCCCCCTCGTGGGAGATCTCCAACAGCACCTCCAGTGGAAATGTCTGGGATGCCGGAAATGTTCTAAATTTGCACAGTCCAGGAGGGTCGCTGCTGGCCACAAAGGGCTAGTGAGTGCTTGAAATGTGGCTAGTACAACTGAGGACCTGATTTTCTAATTTTATTTCATTTACGTTTAAATAACCACCTTCATGGCACCGCTCTGGGGCCCACAGGGTTTACCTGCGGAGATGGACAAGGGTAGGCAGACAAGTAAACATCTCACCTCCCCACCAATGTTCTTTAAATAGGGCTGTGCCCAAGTTCATGAAAAGGATCAAGGTTCCAGACTACAAGGACCGGAATGTGTTTGGCGTCCCTCTGACCGTCAACGTGCAGCGCTCGGGTCAGCCCCTGCCCCAGAGCATTCAGCAGGCCATGCGCTACCTTCGCAACCATTGTTTGGATCAGGTGAGAGCCGCTGCTGCAGGTCCCCTGTGACCATGGGAGCTCAGGTGCATGCTTCTCTTTCGGGTTCTGTAGTGAAGATGTCGCTTTCATCTTGACACGTAATGGTTTTCTTCCAACAGGTTGGGCTCTTCAGAAAATCGGGTGTTAAGTCCCGGATCCAGGCCCTGCGCCAGATGAATGAAAGTGCCATCGATTGTGTCAACTACGAGGGGCAGTCTGCTTATGACGTGGCCGACATGTTGAAGCAGTATTTTCGAGATCTTCCGGAGCCACTAATGACGAACAAACTCTCGGAAACCTTCCTGCAGATCTACCAATGTAAGTTGTTCTTGGATCTTAACCCTGTTGGAGGTATGAAGAAATGGACGCAACTGTGAAACCTCTACCTTCCTGTTTTTTAAAAAAGAGAAACCATAAGTCCAGGTTTTTTTATGCATTCTCTGAATTTTTAAAAAATATTTTATTGATTTTTTTTTTTTTTTTTAGAGGGAGAGGAGAGGGAGATAGAAACATCAATCAATGATGAGAGAGAATCATTGATCGGCTGCCTCCTGCACATGCCCCCATAGGGGATCAAGCCTGCAACGCGGGCATGTGCCCTGACCCAGAATCGAGCTGGTGGCCGCTTGGTTCCTGGTTTGATGCTCAGCGGCCGAGCTACCCCATCCGGGCACCCCTGGCTTCCTTTGATGTCGTTCTCTTGGACCCACTGGATGGGATGGCCTCTTGGAAATACACGTCATCGATTTCTTCCTTGCCTCCTCGTTTGTGGAGCGGGTTTCTGTAGACCTACAGAATGCAAAAATAACTTTCCCTTGTCATCATTCTCATTGCTGAAGCAATTGTCCATTTTTACCTTCTGATCCTGGAGCTCAGTCTTTCATTAGTTTCTAGAACAGGGTTATCTAAGAAGCATAAAAAGGCAGGTACCAAGATCTCTCTCTCTCTCTCTCTCTCTCTCTCTCTCTCTCTCTCTCTCTCTCCCTCTCCACCGTCCGTATGGAAATTTCAGTTGCTTCCCATCCCTCCAGCAGGACCTGTTGTGTTTAAAATTTCACAGGTGTCTGTGCGTTTGATCTTGATGTTCAATGCGTAAATAACCTTTTTCTGTTCTTCTCGGCTTCTGCCAGAAATACTTGGGAAAACAATACCCATGCCCCTCTCACTTTTAAGTAAAGCTTAAAGCAAACAGTTATCTAAATTAATGATGAAGATCGGGATTATAGCGTTTACAGCTTGGTGTTTTTCTTGGCTCAGTGTCGTAGCACAGCCATGTAATTTGAAAGCAGCTTCTCTTCGTGTTCCCATCGTCTTTAGCTGGCGCATTGGACTCTATTTTATGAGAAATGGAGCTGGTCTGGATTATTTCATTATTTGTTTCATCCTTTCAGATTTTATGAAAACACAGGTCACATTTTCCCCACCAAGGTATTTGTTATGTATTGTAACCATGGAGCTGTTTAATCAGTTTGTCCTATGGCGCTGCGTTTGAGTGACTTGGTTTTTCCACCACATGCCTTTTTAAGAGAAAGATTTGCCTGGAAAAGGAGACCTGAAGGTTGGGTCCAGCATTTTCTACATGTGTATTCGTTTATGGCCCTCGTTCTCAAGCGTGTGTTTTTATAGCAGCCTCTCGGTAGGCTTTCTAAAGCTGAAAGAAATCGCTGGTCAGATATGCCTGTCGTTTAAATTGACTGAATATTTGAGCAGCTTCCTTTTCCCACTTCAGGAACCAGCAGCTCAGTCAAAAGTGTGAGAGTCCCCGGAGATACCGAACATTTTATAGGAAAGACTAAGAAACCTCAGTTCTTACCCTGGGACACATACCTTAGATACGATGTTTTATTGACGCTGAACGAAAGTGTCAGCGCATCTTATTTTCCAAAATTGAGAATGGTGAATTAGGGATTTCTAAGAAGTACTTAGAAAGAAAAAGTGTTCTGTAAACTGAACAAGCAGGTCTCATCGGGAGCTGAACTCGGAGGTGGGCTTAGGAGTCTGTTGGCATTGTGGGTGTTTAAAATATCTCACCTCCTCCACCGGCAGGAAATACTTGAGGGTAGTGACGCTGGTGCAGCCCTAATTTCTTCCATATTAACCTCGAGTACACTCTCGGCAAGTGCTTGTTCAGGGCTGCTGGGGCCTTTGATGCCGATGTGTTTGCTTTGGGACATTTCCTTGCGATGGACGTGGAAAATCACTGAGCTGATGGGGAAAATGCTGGTGTTGTGCAGATGTGCCCAAGGACCAGCGCCTCCAGGCCATCAAGGCAGCCATTATGCTGCTGCCGGACGAGAACCGGGAGGTGCTGCAGACGCTCCTCTACTTCCTGAGTGATGTCACGGCAGCTGTGAAGGAGAACCAGATGACGCCCACCAACCTGGCCGTGTGCCTGGCACCCTCGCTCTTCCACCTCAATACCCTGAAGAGAGAGAATTCTTCCCCCAGGTAGGGGCCGGGGAGGGTCGCATGCGTCATGCTCTCCTTCGGGGTTGTCCCCCTGTTCTCCTGGGATTCATACCTAAGTCAAGCAAATAGGAGTTGGAGCTTCTCCCTTCACAGCCCATGTGACCCTCCTGTCTTCTTAGCCCTGGGCGTGTGACTGCCTGGGCACTCTAGTTATAGGGGAGAGAGAGTAGGTTCCTGCTTCAGCATGGGAGTGTTTGCCCAGTGTCTCCCCGAGCCCTCTGTGACATCGTCATCACACTCTGCCAGCAGAGAGTCACAGATTTACTGACCTAAACATCTGGGTGGGGGGTGAGCCCTGCCTTGGCGCCCACGGGGCCAGGGGAGCCCAGCTCCTGGCCTGGGCCGGCAATTGAAAGGAAGTGGGCAGATCTAAGAGAACTGAGCGTAAGGTGGAGCCTGCACGTTAAGGTCAAGCCCATGATTTGCGGAGTTTCTCCTTCGATGTCTGCAAGGTGGGAGTGGAGTGGCTGTAGAAGAAGCCGGAGAATCTAGAAAGTAACAAAGGCTGATGTTTGCTCAGCACTTACTCCGTCCCAGTCACGAGACTGCACCCTTGACATCCATAAAATTCTCACTTGACCCGCAGAACAATCGCAGGAGGTGAGGATGATAACGTTGGTATCCATTTCACATGAGAGGAAAGTGGGGCTGCAGGGAGGGCCAGTTGAGGGAGGAGCTGGCCTGTGCCTGAAACGAAGAAGTGCAGAGCCAGTTGGAGCGTCTGACTTCTGAGAGTATTTCTCATAGAGGCCTCAAGCGGAGAGGGGGAAACAGTCACTAACTGGCCTTCCCCGGGCCAGATCCATCCTGCTGATCCTGTTCCTTCAGCTCTGGGGACGGCCACAGACATTTCTGAGCTAGAAGCGAGGGCCTTGTGCTCACTGAAGTAGCTTTGCTTCTGCAAGCCAGGCAGTGCTTAAAGATCCTTGAATTACTTCTGGCTGTTGACTAGCGTTCCAGCTTTTTTAAAAAATCTTTATTGTTGAAAGTATTACATATGTCCCCCTTTTTCCCACCATTGACCCCCTCCAGCCCACACCCCGCCCCTCTAGAGTTCCAGTTTTAATGGGATAGAGAACAGAGATGGGCCGCAGAGAGAGATCAGATAAGATTAAAGTAAACCCTTTAGGAAACAATGCATTTCCCCTCACCTTCGGGAGGGGTCCTGTTTATCTAGACTGTGAAGAATAGGGACTTTACCCCAGTGTCCGGCACCTCCCACCCACACCCTTCTTAGCTGCCTCTCTCCCTCCCCAGCACACATCCAGAGTCCTACAAGCTCCCCTATGTAAATAGGAACCTACTTAATGTGCTGGCTTTAAAGAGCCTAGATATCATTGAAAACAGCCTCTTTCATGTTTTGTGTGTGTGCTGTTGATAAAACTACTGAAAAATTCTAGTGACCAAAGTAAAGCTCTCTTGGGCAGAGTGGGTGGGAAGAGAGATTAACCAAAGAACTTCTATGCATATATGCATAACCCATGGACACAGATAATAGTGTGGTGAAGGCCTGGGGTGGGGATGGGGGTGGGGGTGAAGAGAAAGGAGGCAGGTGCCAGCCAGAAGGGGTCGGTGGGGAAAAAGGAGAACATCTGTAATACTTTGAATAATAAAGATAAATTTTAAAAAATAATGGAGTTCCCTTGAACCCTTTAGTGACAGGTAGGCTCCAGTGAGCTATTTATTTCTCTCCTTTGGGTTTCCTCAACGTACACATTGATTTAAAAATATGTAAATATTTGAATCTTTCTCCTCCTATTTCTTCTGCCTAGGGTGATGCAAAGAAAACAGAGTTTGGGCAAACCAGATCAGAAAGATTTGAATGAAAACCTCGCTGCCACGCAAGGGCTGGCCCATATGATTGCGGAGTGCAAGAAGCTTTTCCAGGTAAGGATTTAGGGGATCTTGTAGTTGGTTAAGGATAACCTGGGTAGGGACGAAATTGTAGGTGCAATACTTGGTCACATCTCACCAAAAGATCCCTTGCCCAGCTGGAGAGTGTATACAGAGCCCAAGAGTGTCTTACTATCTATATTATAACATAAGCTAAGTAGAGTTAGTATGCTTAATGAAATGCCCACCTCCATACCCCCTATAAAAGCAACAAATTGCGTGCAGTAAGTACTGTATCTGAGACACGTGCCTTCATCCACGTAAGCCCTGTTTCAGTCACTTACCTGCTAGGTGACTTCTCAGGTACCTTACACTAGAATAAGGTATCCGTAGCCTCGTGAAACCGCGTGAGGTGGGCGGGACATCCTCCAGCTGTTGGGAACAGGGATTGGACTGCCTGCACCACCTTGAGCACTCAACCTAGTTTCTGCCCTGTCACTTCACTGCTGGGCAACGAGAGTGTGCACGGGTGGACCAACATCCTTTTTTTAAAAAATATATTTTTATTAATTTCAGAAGCCAGTCAATGAAGGAAAAATACCACATTAAAATATATATTTTTTTTATTAATTTCAGAGAGGAAGGAAGAGGGGGGAGAGAGACAGAAACATCAATGATGAGAGAGAATCAATTATTGGCTGCCTTCTACACGTCCCCTACTGGGGATCAAGCCCACAACCTGGGCATGTGCCCTTGACCGGAATCAAACCCGGGACCCCTCAGTCCACAAGCCAAGGCTCTGTCCACTGAGCCAAACCGGCCAGGGCATCTCCCAACCTCCTTTTGGTCTCATGTTCCTCACAGGTTCCTGAGGAAATGAGCCGATGTCGCAATTCCTACACCGAGCAAGAGCTGAAGCCTCTCACTCTCGAAGCTTTGGGACGCCTCTGTGCCGACGAGTCCGCTGACTACCAGCACTTCCTGCAGGACTGCATGGACAGCCTGTTTAAAGAGGTCAAAGAGAAGTTCAAAGGCTGGGTCAGCTGCTCCACCTCTGAGCAGGCCGAGCTGTCCTATAAGAAGGTAGGTCATCCCTTGTCGTCGACCAGTTGAGTTCCGGGGGTCAGGGCTTGGGTTCCTTAGAGACGAGACCCTGTTACCCACACAGCTCTGCGTGGGGATCTGGCACCCATTCCCCCTCCTGCAGAGCTGGGCGGCCAAGGGATTCAGATCCCCAGGTAAGAGCAGAAACCAGCCGGGTGAGGAATACTTGTCAGAGGAATCAAACAGCCAATGCGATCCTGCTTCCACAGAATCACACCAGAGTGCCCTGGAGTGTTTAACTAGTGGCATTGGGCTTAGGCCTTGTAGATCCGGCTTGGGTTTTTCCATAATTTGATCAGAACCCCCTTGCACACTCCACTCCACTCTTGGCCCTTTAAAGAGCAGAGAGCTATCAGGGGAGACATTGACTTGCTGGGACTGCGCCTGTGAGGGCGGGCACATGGTGGGTGGCTTAGCAGGGTAGGCCCACCACAGGTACTTGTTGACACTGTCCTCCATCACCTTGAAAAGAAATAACCAGGAGGGCAGTCCGGATAGCCATGCAGGCTTGGGGTGCAAATAAAGGATCCTACTTGATTCCATTGACCCTGACATGGGTCCCAGGGGAACATGGGACAGTTTGAACCTGAAGTGACACCAGCCGCTTTGTTCACTTCTGGCCTAACTCTCGGGGGTGGCAGCCTGTTAAAGCCATAGGTGATCATTAGCCTCCAAACAGATGCCCGTGTACCGGGCTAGCAAGTTGCCTTCCAAGCCTGGGTGTGTGCGAATTGCCTTAGCCCTGAAGGTGCTTCCTCTCTTCAGGTGAGTGAAGGACCCCCTCTGAGGCTTTGGCGGTCGGCCATCGAAGTCCCTGCGATGCCCGAGGAGATCTTGAAGCGCCTCCTTAAAGAGCAGCACCTCTGGGATGTAGACCTGTTGGATTCAAAAGTGATTGAAATCCTGGACAGTCAGACTGAAATTTACCAGTACGTTCAGAACAGTATGGCACCCCATCCTGCTCGGGACTACGTCGTTTTGAGGTGAGAGCTTCTGAATTGATCATTTATTCTTAATGTTTTTAATTGATTTCAGAGAGCGGAAAGGAGAGGGAGAGAGAGAGAGAGATAGAAACATCAATGATGAGGGAGAATCATCGATCGGCTGCCTCCTGCTGAGGACGGAACCCGCAACCTGGGCGTTGTGTCCTTATCGGGAATTGAACCGTGACCTCCTAGTTCATGGGTCGATGCTCAACCACTGAGCCACACCGGCAGGGCCCAAATTGATGTTTGTGGCCAGGATGAGCCTGTGGGTCACTGAATAAGATGGTAAAATTACTTCCATTAGAACGTATGCCTCCATAAAATGGTTGAACCTTTGCAAATATGAAAAATATATCTACTTTTATTAAAGTAGTGTGTTCATCCCTGAAATGGTTTGGACTCTTTGGGAATTGAGCTCAGAAAGAGAGGCACACTCAACTGGATGCGCGTCCTGGTGGCGGATTCTTCCCCCTTTTAGGATAGATGTTCTCGTTAGAAGTAGCTGACGGATGCATAAGCCAGGAAACAACATTCAGGTTCCCAGGGGGTTACGGTTGAGGCTGGTTTATATCTAATTCATCATTCTCTGGAGACGTGATTGAAAGAGGAATTCCAAGAATCTTTGAGGAACTGTCACATCATTAGTCCAGAACCTTTCCGACAGAGCAGCGTTCATTCGGATGCTCATGCTCTCAGACAGCTGTGGAACGTAACGATGGTTTTCGGTCGCACTTCAGATTGGTTCTCTTTGAAAGAGCTGGCTGTGTGAGCAGCACATCTCCTGGAGATGTGGCTCTGGACAGAGCTCGTCCAGGAGTCCTTGCACACGAGTTCAGGATGCCGTTCACGCAGGGCGGGGACACACAGCACGGCCACCGAGCTGTCCTCCAGTGTCTCTGAGAGCGAGGCCCCATTTGGCTTCCAGGAAATTTTATTTTTTCCCTCTGGTTTTGTCTCGACAGGACATGGAGGACTAACTTACCCAAGGGGGCATGTGCCCTTTTACTCACATCTGTGGATCACGACCGGGCCCCCGTGGTGGGGGTGAGGGTCAATGTGCTCCTGTCCCGGTATCTGATCGAACCCTGCGGGTCAGGGAAATCCAAACTCACCTACATGTGCAGAGCTGACTTAAGGTATGTTCTGCCTCTGATTTTTTGGACATGGTGAGGGTCACGGGGAAGACAGACTTTTCGCCTGGTGCAGAGAATGGCTTAAATGAGTACGTGTTGCACTTTGGTTACTCCAGGAAGAGTGGTGCTAAAGTAACACGTTGTGTTTCTCGGCCTTTGGGTACCACGGCCTACTTTTGATCCTTTAGAACATGTGGTGCTAACGTAATGTGGATACGGGGGTTCTGCCATGAATATGAAGCCCCGGAAATGCGAGTTTGAACGAGCAAGCAGGGTTTTCTCATTTTATAGTCAAGGGTGTCTGAATCATGTGACATGCCCTTTTAGTAATTCATCAGGCCTACCTATTCTTTGCTACAGATCAATGTGTATTAGTATCAGAAAAGCGGTGCCGTGCAGCCTTATAGACAAAAAATGAACCTCTGCAAACTCCGTCCACGTGTCTCTCAGGTTACATAAAGTCTCATTGGAAATCTTTACATCTCAGCACTTCTGCAGGCACCGTGTGCTCTGTTTTTGTTAACATGCTGCAGCTTTCCCTAAACCAGCGGTTCTCAACCTGGGGGTCGAACAACCCTTTCACAGGGGTCGCCTAAGACCATCGGAAAACACATCTATAATTACATATTGTTTTTGTGATGAATCACTATGCTTTCATTATGTTCAATTTGTAACAAGGAAATTGGGGGTCACCACAACATGAGGAACTGTATGAAAGGATCGCGGCATTAAGAAGGTTGAGAACCAGTGCCCTAAACAGTTTTACTCAATCTGTAGTTTCTTGAGACACTTCGAGTTCCAAATGTATGATGGAAAGGCCAGGAGATTGCCCTGGAACAGTAAGCGCACATGTTGCTGAGCAGGGAATGGAAGTGTAGTATTTGCAACTCCCTTCAGCTTGTCTCAGGGCTTTCCAGCTGGAATAATGGGCCTGCTTTTCCTCTGTCCTAGGGGCCACATGCCAGAGTGGTACACGAAATCTTTCGGACATTTGTGTGCAGCCGAAGTTGTAAAGATCCGAGACTCTTTCTGTCACCAGAGCACTGAAAGCAAAGACACTAAATCCAGGTGATCACCAAGGCAGAGCCGCCGTGTCCACCTTCCCACCTTCCGGGCGTTCGTGCCCAGGGCCCTTGCCAGTGCTCGGGAGCACGGGTTCTGCGTCTAATCCTGAAACCAAACTGCAAGTTGGAACATAGGAATCGACTGTAGGGATGTGATACATTTTTCAAAGCTGCTTCCCGTTGGTTTAAGGTCTGTGCCACAGATCTTGACTGGAGTATATAAGACTGCAAAAAAGAAAAAATGTATTCTTATGCGAATTGCTTCTGAGAAGCAACACTATAAATACATTACAGAAGATAATGAAGATACTTCATTCTCTTGTGATATTGGTGTATGTGTCCCTATGTCCTTGTGTTGGCAGCGTGTTGAGGGGCTGGCGTATCCACTGGAATAGTTGGTACTCTACGACAGGTTTTCTCACTGAGAGGAGCAGAGAAAGGTTTGCACAGAGGCGTGTGTGTATGTTTGTTTGTTGCTGGTTGCATGGCACAGATGTGTAGGTTGGGACGCAGTGTCTGGCACACTGAGATGCCTCAAGAAGGATATTGATGCGTCAGGTGCAGTTTAACCTGGAATATCTGACTACCCATGGATCCATCCAGAAATGTAAAAGGGAACTCTTATTTTGAGGGATCAGACAGCCTACCCTTGTCCATTTTTTTTCCCCCTGAGTTATATTAAACAGACTCCTCTATCCACTTCTTCTTTACCTGGAAAGTGATTGTGGTGAATTTACTCTGATCTCCCATTTCAGACACCGTTTCTCTCTAGACCTGATTGCAAAAGTTGTTTGTAGGTTGTTATTAACAGCATTTTCAAAAGCTAAACAGGCTTATTAATTTAATTTGCCCTTAACAGCAAATAGGTTTTCTGGCTTTTTTTTTCTTTGCTTTTTTCTACATTTTCTTTTTTCCCCCTTTATAATGATGTCCTTGGAATATATTTTCATGGTAATGGCAAACAGGTATCATAGTAAAAAGCAATACAGCAGTACAGTTTTGGAAGGGTGGTCTTTATACAGGTTTTACTGTAATGGTGAAGGTCGACTTCAGAGACAGTATTAGTGAATTTATTTAGTATGGGTCGAAGTGAATAATGTATGAATGAGAGTTGTAAGAAGGATTTTTATTTTGTTACAACGTAATGTAGTTACCATTGTCAGTGTTATTTCCAAGGTTCTTTGAAGAATTGGTGGGGACAGATTAGAGTGTTAAAATTTGAGTATTTTGGATATCAGTGTTTTTCATGAAGATATACTTGTATATTCCATTTGAATGGCTTTCAGATTTGTAAGATTGTATGTTGTATATACCATTCTATTAAGACACATGTACACATGTCCACTGTGCTTTCAAACATAGATTAAGCATGATAAAGATTATTATTTAAAATATACTTGTATTTATACCTCAGATATTCTTTTGGGTTTTGTACCTCAAGGCTTTTTTTTTTTTTTTCTAATGTAAATACACTTACATGAATACAGTCTAAGAGAAAAAATAAATAAAAGAAGAGGTTTATAATGTGCTCAGAATCTGTACAGAATATAATCGATAAGTGCACTATTAAATGTTTAAGGGAAAAGTCTGGCCTGCTCTCCTCTGCAATGCAGCTTCCTCCCTCCCACCCTGAACACCACAGACTGCAAGGCACATCATTCTAGCACCAACCACAGCGAAAGCATGGAGTTGCTGAAGGGAAAACCGGACTGCACATCATTCCAAGGCCAACCGCAGCTGAGCCACTCGCTAGCACACAGGGAAGCCTGGAGATGCTCTCTGAAGGCCGTTAGGAAATGATGCTGAGAAAGTTACGTGAAAGCACAACAGCTACGGAAAGATGCTCCTCGGCAAAGCCAAGGTCACTGTTCATCCCACCAAAGGTCACTCCCACGGTTTGGCGCTCCTGTTGAGAGGATGTCTTCCATTCCACGCTTGACAAGAGGAGATCTCAAAGGGTATGGACATTTGCAAGAACTCTGCTTACGTCGCCTGGAGTGCTGTCGCCACAACTTACTAATTGTGACTAATGGCCTAGATTGTAAGGTCCCTGAGGGCAGGGCTCTCCTGCACATCTCTGTACTCCCCTGAGCAGCTGTCAGTGTTTGTACTTGTAGGCACCTAATAAATGGATTATTTGCTAAATGGGATTGGTTGGACTCGCTTGTTACTTGAAAAGGAAGAGAACCAAGGATGCTACCTGTCTTAAGCCCCCACTTTGGCTCATCACTGCCCATTTTGAGATTAAAGAGAGTGAACATTGTTAAACCATATGGGATCTTAAAAGTTTAAACTAGCAAAGATGCATGGATAAGCGTATATAGATGGCTACGGATACTGATTTTTTAAATTTGAGTTTCTTTGAGATGGAATTTTTAACCTATTGCATTTCCCAGATACAATGTGATACTGATCTTAGAAGAGGTTTGACAAATATTCAGTTTGGGCATAGAAAAGTGGACAAACCCAACTTTATTGTAAGTTTTTGATTTTTTTTTTTTACTGACTTTTTACAGAAAGGAAGGGGAAAGGATAGAGAGTTAGAAACATCGATGGGAGAGAAACATCGACCAGCTGCCTCCTGCACATGCCGCACTGGGGATGTACCCGCAACCAAGGTACATGCCCTTGACTGGAATTGAGCCTGGGACCCTTCAGTCCACGGGCCAACACTCTATCAGCTGAGCCAAACCGGTTAGGGCTATTGTAAGTTTTTAAAAGACACACCCAGACTGAAGGCTTTTTAAACTGGCCTCTGCCTTCAGACCTGGTTTCCACGGGGCTATGTAAAATCAAAGTATCTTAGGCCTGAAATACCCAATACTTGAGTTGTTTGCACAGTTCTGAAGTGGAGTTTCTAACAGACGTCATGAGGTTACAGGAAGTATCCTGCCTAGCAATCTATAGGTGAAATTACTTGGAAAATTCCAAGAAAATGAAACCTCACAAGTACCCCCATGAAGCATAGGCCGTCTCTTCAGTCTAAGGAGAGGATATGGTTTAGAGAAGTAGTGACAATTAAGGGACCCAGAGCTGCCCTGGCCCGTGTGTCTCCAGTAGGGCTTTGCCCCTTCCACCAAAAAAGGTGGCGGTGCGGTTCCGGGTCAGGGCACGTACCCAGGTTGTAGGTTTAATTCCTGGTTGGCTCACGTGCAGGAGGCAACCAATCACTATCAATGTTTCTCTTCCTGTCTCTCAAATTAATAAAGTGAATTTTTTAAAAAATGAGATTCCAACCCAGGTCTGCTGCCTCAGACCATTTCCTATTTACTGATCTTTTCCTAATTGGGAAACAAATATCTCATAGTAAAAGCCAATCCAGCCCTAGCTGGTTCAGCTCAGTGGATAGAGCGCTGGCCTGAGGACCAAAGGGTCCCATGTTCGATTCTGGTCAAGGGCACCTGTCTGGGTTGCGGGCTCAATCCCTAATAGGGGGCGTGCAAGGGGGCGATCAGTGATTCTCTTTCATCATTTGCTGGGGTCCAGCCCCAGCAGGTCCAGGGGTTCCCATAGGTGTGGACGGAGTTGGCGATGAAGGAATGACACGGGGGCAGTGTTCAGATGATCATCATGGTGAGGTTCTCTCTTCATTGTCCTATTACATCTATATTTATGCAATTTGATCCCATAAGCATGCCTCTGTAATTACATCATGGTATGTTTTGGGTCATGTTCTACAATTCCTTGTTTCTTATTTGACCTTAGCCAAAAATCCTGTCTCTACCTAGTTCTGTTGATTTTAAATATATTTTATTGATTTTTTACAGGAAGGGAAAGGGATAAAGAGTTAGAAACATCGATGAGAGAGAAACATTGATCAGCTGCCTCCTGCACACTCCCTACTGGGGATGTGCCCACAACCAAGGCACATGCCCATGACTAGAATCGAACCCGGGACCCCTCAGTCTGCAGGCTGACGTTCTTATCCACTGAGCCAAACCGGTCAGGGCCTTTGGTGCTTTCCCTGGTGGGCAGACCCCTCGGGATGCGGGCCCAACAAGTCCCAAATTTATTGCCAACAGTCTTAGTCCAAGTTCTTCATAAGTAGTACATGGTATTTCTGTAACACTAGGGAGATTTACTGATTTATTCTCTTCCTAGTCCTTTTAACCCCTAAACAACCTTTCTCGGGGAGGCGGTCCTGGTTAAAACATAGCGCCTAAGAGGGGGAGCGAACATATGTCACATACGCCAGGTCCCTTGAAACATAAGCTGTGCAGATGTTTCGTCCCTGCAGCAACTGTGTCAAGCAGCAAGGGTGGACCGGCTCCCAGCAAATATTGATGTTTCAATCTCTCCCTCTCCCTTCCTCTCTGAAATCAATAAAAAATAATAAGATAAAATAAATAAAAGCCAACTCACACAGTGTCAGCATCAGAATCAAGAATTCTAGGGAAGCCCAGCCAGTGTAGCTCAGTGGTTGAGCATCGACCTATGAACCAGGAGGTCAGGCTGCATGCCCAGGGCTCGATCCCCAGCAGGGGTCATGCAGGAAGCAACTGATCAATGACTCATCGATGTTTCTATCTCTCCCTCTACCTTCTTCTTTGAAATAAATAAAAATATATAAAAAGAATTGCAGGGAAATGAAGATCCACAGCAAAATAACACATTAGTTAAAAAACCCCAAAGTAATTAAAACATTTGTCACCCCATGGCTGAGCGGCTGAAGGAGAGATTCAGTCAAGATAAATATGAGGCCAAAGTTTTGTTTCAGGTCAATGGTTGACAGAACTTAGAGTTCTGTTTGCAAACTGAGTATATGGTTTCAAGGCTATGAAGACTCCGCTGAGGCCTCCCTGTGGAACAATAGGACACGACTCTCCCCTCTGCAGCACAAAAGAATGAGCTGGGATGTGTTTGCAGCCAGGCCCACCCAACCTTGCAATCTCACCTTGCACCATGGGATCTGATGGCCAGGCACGTGCTGAGAAATGTGTCCTTAGCGACTTTGAGGTGCAAATGTCATAGCACCCCTTACACAAATTGGATGCTGTAGTCTACTGTAATACTGTTATACAGGCGGTGCGGTAGGTTTGCTTACACCAGCATCACCACAAACACGTGACAGACTGTGCGCCCTGACACTTGGCTTTTGTGTCTGAGTGTGATGCAGGCTTTGATTTCAAAAGCATCCACTTCAAGGAAGGCTACCTGGAATGCACACACTGCCATCCTCAGGACTAGACAAAGAGCCAGGCCCCTCCCCGTCCCAGGCTCCTTTGTTTTGGAGACCTTGATTGATAACCGACTATATGGCTTACTTGCTTTTTTCTCTTCCCTGTGCTTTTTTTTTTCCCACTTTTTAAAAAATATATATCTTTATTGATTTCAGAGGAAGGGAGAGGGAGAGAGAGAGAAACAACAATGATGGGAGAGAATCATTGATGGGCTGCCTCCTGCACATCTCCTACTGGGGATCGAGCCCACAACCCAGGCATGTGCCCTTGACCGGAATTGAACCGGGGACTCTTCAGTCCACAGGCCAATGCTCTATCCACTGAGCCAAACCAGCTAGGGCAGTGCTTTAAATTCTTGGTCTTCTGTTTTAAACTCACCAGTAAAGAGTGAGTCCCTCCCCGCGAACCCTAGGCCCCCAGACTTGACTCCAATTAAAGCAGGACCCCAGGCTCCCTCCACTCTCACCTCACTGTGTGCCCTCTAGGTGCCTGGTAAGCTCCAGAGCCTGTAAGTAATCAACTTTTTTTTTTAAGTCACCTGATCGTTCTTGTGTTCTTGCTGAAGAGCACCTTGCAATGGCAATTTGGACCCCCAGGGTCGGGGGATTGTCACATTGGTTTAGACGGGGAGATGTCTATGGGAAGCTCATGGCCCAGGCGAGTGCCCCAGCTATCCAGCCCATAGCATCACTATAGCTCAACTGTAATCACACAGACCTATCACAGCTGTGATACCACTAGGCCAGTGATGGCGAACCTAGGACACGCTGTCAGAGGTGAGACGCGAACTCATTTTTTTGGTTGATTTTTCTTTGTTAAATGGCATTTAAATATACAAAATAAACACCCAAAATATAAATCTTTGTTTTACTATGGTTGCAAATATCAAAAAATTTCTATATGTGACACGGCACCAGAGTTAAGTTAGGGTTTTTCAAAATGCTGACACGCCGAGCTCAAAAGGTTCGCCATCACTGCACTAGGCAGTAGATATTTTCAGCTCCATCTTGACTGGAACACGTATAGGCAATTGGTCATTTACTGAAATGTCGTCGAATAAAAAGCCTGGACCCTACTACGATGTTGCATGCTTTGTTCCGGCCCTCCGGTCCAGGTTAAGAACCCATTGTGGCCCTCGAGTCAAAAAGTTTGCCCACCCCTGTCTGGGGCTTGGGTGGTTTAAGAGAGGATGATGTTCAGCACACTGTGCACTTGCCCTGCACACTCGGCTGAGCGCCTAGTCGGTGGAGCAAGGGGGAGATCTAAGCTAGAGGGGAGCCCAGAAGCCTGGCCCCCCTGCCCTGGGCGGAGGAATACACTGACTTCCCTTCCCTCCCTTGCTCTTGTTTAGATAAATTTAGATACACAAATACCATTGTGTTAAAATTGCCTACAGTATTCAGTAAAGGAACCTGCCTTACAGGCTTGGAGCCTAGGTGCAATGGCCTGTGCCATCTGGGTCTGTGTGAGCGCACTCACTCTACGAAGTCTTTATGAAGTGCACGGCTGTACTCGCACACTCTTTAACTTGCCACCCAGCACCAGAACCCTGTCCTGTGACTTCCTGCTATACCTCGTTATGCCTTTCCCACCTCAAGAATATCATGAAGGGCAACTGAGGTATCTGTGAAGGCGCTTTGTAAAGGGAAGCCAAACGCTTTACCTCACCTGCCTGTTGAAGCACACGCTAATGATTCCAAAGCAGAAATCCTAAACAATGAGATAATAGCCTGCGTGTCACCTTGGTGTTCCATCAGGATGAAATCTGCCTAAGGAATTTAAATTCCACTTGCCTAAGGAATGCAAATTACAAAAGACCTCAAAGAGCCCGTGGCACAGGAAGCTCAGGTAGGTCCAAGCAGTTCAAATGAATTTGGGCCCATTCCCCAGGGGATGATCAGTCCTTTGCAGGCAGGGAGTTTGCTAAATCAAGTTGGCAGCTGTAGCCCAGAGTAATTAGCCTCGCTGCA